CATCTTCACAGAGACAGTGCAATTCTCACAAGTCGCGAAACTCAGTGAGAAAGTTCTTTGCTCTGCTGCTTTTTCTCCAGAGTGTATACGCCACGTGCATACGCCACGCAATACGCCACGCGCATACATCACAGTGGTCAGTGACTCTGGTATCTTTCTGCTCAATGAGGTGCGTGTCCCACAGACTATCCAAAGCTGGGCCTAAGAGTTCCACACATTTTCACCAACACCAAAAACAAAACAAAAACCAAACCCTGCTGGATGCTGTAAGCATGCCCTGTGTTATTTAATATTTGTAAATAAAAGGGAGCTGCTAAGAGAAAGGCAGAACTCTTTATGTTGGGCCTCACAAGATTTTTCAGTTCCCAGTGTCCTGAACCTTCTCAAGGCAGAACATACAACTATTTCTTCCAAAATGTCCCTATTGCTTGCTCCCCTTACTCCCCATCGGCTCTACTCTACATCGGTGCGGACCCACCATTATCAGTCAGCGTGTTCCCGCTAGGGTAACCAAAACTTGGACACGTGGAAGGAAAATGTTTCCTCTTCCACCAGACTTAAAAGGAGATGAGGTCCCTTTCCCCTTCCTCATTAGCATTGTTGTATAAAAACCATCTGGGACAATTTAGTAAATTAAATACATTGAAGCAACAAATAAAAGATACTCTAATGAATAAAACACAGGAGACCCCATACGGCTATCTATTTCTTTTTTGACAAGCAGCATAATCAAGCGGTCAGCATCAGAGGACGGGCCAGCAGCCAGGCGGGGAAGGCTGGTGAGCGGCCGACTCTTCCGGCTCCTGCTTTCCTGCCTCCCTCACCATTATTGACTGTACACTTAAACCATAAGTCCAGACAAATCCTTTCTTCCTTAAGTTGTTTTTTGTCAGGTACCTGTCACGGCAACAGGAAAAGTAAATAACAGAGCAGCTTGAGTCTCTTAAATCATCACGCCAGCACAGCAAAACCCACGCAGACTCGATTTGGCCTGTGGAGAACAAACTCACAGCCTGGGAAGTAGAATCACCATTCTTGAAATCGATTACAAATTTGCCTTCTTCAGAAACTTCCCGAAGGTCTCTACTCCTCACGTTTGTTTTCCTTCCGAAGTCTGTGTGCCCTTTAGATAGCACAGCTTGGTGCTTTCTGTGTAGCTCACATATGCGTGTCTCACTTTCTCACCTACTTAGGAAACACATTTTGCTGAAGGGAGAAGCATGCGTTATGATTCTCTGGTCCTTCTGTTTCATTGTTAATCTTCCACTTCATTGATGTGCATGCATGCAAGTGTGTATATGTGTGTGTGTGTGTGTGTGTACAGGTCACAAGCCCTAGTGTATAAGGGTTAGAGATCAACATTGTGTGCCTTTCTCCATCACTCTTTGTGTGTTTTGAGACGGAGTCTATCGTTGAATTTAGAATTCACCAGCTGGCTGTACTAGCTGGCCAGGAAGACCCGGGGTTCCACGTGTCTCTATTTCCCAAGCTCTGGATGGGAGATGCACACTGCAATGGCCCAGCTTCTTAATTAGGGATCCGAAACCAGGTCGCCGCGCTTGTTTGCATGAGAGGGTTTTGCTGACCGAGTCATTGTCCTAGGCCTTTGTCCAATGTTTTACATCTATTTTAAAATGAAGATGTCAGAGTAGTTCATTTTCGTGGGACTCAAAAGAACAAAACAAAACGCTAGGTAGTCAGCTAAAACTGTGAATAAAGGCTGTATGTCCTGGGACGGCTGGCAGGACTTAACATGTAATGCACATTACACTCCCACTTAAAGAGAATGTGTAGAGTTCAAGGGGCAAATGTTCATCAAAGCGAAGAGGACCACAAATGTAATATTTGGAAGAGGGTTTTCAATTTCCCAGCACTGAGAGATGTCTGGGCAGCAAACAAAATAAGCGATTACTGACTGGCGTTTGAAATTGGCGTCGTTTGAACTATCAAATGAACCTCATTAAGAGAAAAATCACACAAACTCTGTAGCTGGGACACACATACGCACGCACGCCTGCACGCGCACATTGAGCTGAAGGAACATTGTTTTGCTGAGTGACTTTCAATTCTGGCCTCCTCTGGGTTTCTACAGAGCAGGCCTCTAAACACACCTCCTGCGTGGGTGGAGTCCTGCTGCGGTCCGTCGTCATGGAGATGGGTCTCCTGCAGGGGGCATCGCTACGGACAGGGAAGCCGGTGGTGGAAGAGCTAGCCCTTGAAGCAGTTTATAACACGCCAAATCCGAGACCCTTGCGGAAGACTCCCCCACTTTTCTTTGGTCTAAAACGATTGATTTCTAGATTTAGAGGCGCAGAGGTGGAGGAGGGAGGCGGAGAAGAGGAGCAAGAGAATGCGGGAGAGGATGAAGGAAGAACGGCAAAGGGAAAAAGTCTCCTTCTTCCCCGTCTCCACGCTTCTCTGCAAAGCTGCTCGCCTCAACGCCTCCTCCTTTTGCCTTTCCTTCCCCTTTTCTATTTTTCCTCTTTTGGTTTTTGTTGTTGTTGCTGTTGTATGACACAGGGTCACACTGCGAAGCCCTGGATGGCCTGCGACTCATAGAGATCTGCCTGCCTCTGCCTCCAGAGTGCCAGGACTAAAGGATTGTGCCCCCACGCCAGGCTACTCCAGATTACTGCACATTGGTCTGGCTTCTCGTTCCGTCCACTCCCATCGACCAGCTCCTGAAACAGCCCCCGTAGACCCTCTGCTTGCAGACCTGATGCCTTTTCCATTGTCTCCATGTTTTTTAATTCAAAATATTTACCAAGTGTCAGTTGACACACTTATTTTTCTTATGAGGAAAGAGTTTCTCCATCCACAGCTTTTTCTTCTGTCCCCACCCTGACTTAGCTTCTCTCATACACTGGCTTCTTTGCCCCTTTGGTTTTCCTGCAAGATTTTATTCCTGCCCAGTGCATTCTCCTCTATGGCCTCTCCAGAGCCAGCTCACCCTCAGCCGTAGACTAGCAACACCTCAGCTCACAGCTCTTGAGACTCTAGGACTTTTATCCTCAGCAAAGACCGGTGCCGTGAACTTCTGATGTGTTATTTCTGAGCTCCTCGTCCATCCTGTGCAGTGTCTCAGTAGCGCCTTAACCCTGATAAAGCGGAAATGTGCTTCTCCTTAACCTCTCCCCTCGTTTGTGTGTCAGATCACTTTCCCTTCATTCTTGCTTCTGCAATGAGTCACAACAGCTCTAGATGAGCCCAGGGCTACCTGGGGAATCCACCCCTAGGGCAACTCGTCATTAGCACACTCCCTGCCTTAACTCTGAGGTTGCTACAGCTCTCGTTTCTCCTGTCTAAATGACCCAGCTTGCTTTCCTCTTGAATCTGTGGTCCCTATCTTTGCAGTGTAGCTATTTGCCTGACTCCTTTCTGTGACTTTTATCACACAAGAGTAAAACTCCCTTTCCGACTGCTTCCTCCTTGTAAACTTTGCCCCCTGTTCATCCTCTCTGGCTTGCTACCGACAGCCCCCTAAACATTCTGTTCCAGAGGAGGCTTGGGTTGGGGACAGGCTAATACGTTTGCCTAGAGAGCTTACAAGCCTGCATGCTGTGCAAAGCACTGAGATTCCTGCACCTCAGACTCCTGCACATTTTCTTTTGGTGGCCATCGTTCATGATGACGAAGGATATACCCCATTAGTGTTTTCTCGCTTTACGGGAGTTTCTAACGCGTAGAGTCTTAGTCAATCCCTGAGATCTCTGAGAACAGGAAGCATGCCTTATTCATCGTTTTCCAGGCATTTTAAATTATGAATAATAATAGGTTGTAGAATATCTCACGACTAAATAGGAAAAAAAGGGGGGACCAGACAGGATAGCTGGTTGAATGTTTGGCCCTCATTTCTGGTGCCTTTGGTACTATATGCAATAATCTGCAACTATTTTGGTTTCAATTAAAGTATTTTTATTTATGGAACCCTCCTCCCTCTTTTTCTTTCTTTCCATGTATGTATGCCATGTGTGTGCACGCCATGTGTGTGCATGCCATGTGTGTGCAGGTGCCCACAGAAGCTGGAAAGGGGCATCCGATCCTATGGAGCTGAAGCTACAGGTTGTAAGCAGCCAAACATAGGGTTAGAAACAGAACTAGGGTCCTCTGGAAAAGCAGCAAGAGCTTGTAACTCTGTAAGTCCCAGTCCCTACAATTATTTTCTTAAATCCCTTAAAAATTATTTTTAAGAGAAGCAGAAAATTATATAATAATGCAACAATTAGAAAAATCAAAACAATCATAACAAAGGAAATGGTTGCTCAGAGCAACAGAAGAATCTGAATTCACTAACAGAAGAAATTCCCCCTGTTGTTGTTAAAGGGTGAAATGAGAGGTGAGGTCCAGCTTCTGACAGGCAATTCTTTCACTGGAAATATTTGGGAAGGAGTAAACCATCTTTCAACCCGTGGGGTCAGCTCTGTCCACTGAACAAAGCACGGATATGTGCGTCACCATCTCCCTTGCAAAACCTCGGTGGGCCTGCTGCTACATGCAGGCTACGGATTGTATAAGGCCGTACGTGACAGCGAACACCTCAGCAGCGAGTCTAGACTACGAGGTCATATTCAGAAATGCATGACCTCAGTGTGGGAGAGTGGAGGTTGTGGTGACAGAGCCTGGGTCAGGTTAACGTCTAAATGGAAAGGGTGTTTGTGAGGTCATGAAGAGTAAATAAAGGAACAAGGAGAGAAGCGTGTTAACAAAGGAATGGTCTGTCATAATTCTGGAAACCTCTGGAGCAGAAAGCTATTAATTCAAATAGTCCAGTGCTGGGCAGCTGTAGTGAAGGCTGTTCCCTTGATGGAGGATCTCTGCCAGTTCCGAGGTGGGAAGTGGGAAGGCTATCATCATCATCATCATCATCATCATCATCATCATCACCATCAAACAACAACAAAATGCAGGTTAAGATCAATTTAAAAATTAGTTTTCAAGGCGGCAACACCACAGTCCTGCCGGTGCTCTACGGGCCTCTCCATCCAGAGATTCAGCAGGAGATGGCGGGCGAGGGAATTGGGGTTCTGGAGCTGGCCGCCCATTTGCCACCTGGGCAAGAGCAGGATGTGCACCTCGTCCAGGCATCCAGCGCCCCTGGAGCTGGGGCACAGGGATCCTCCAACCCCGCAGCCAGCCCCGGGACCGCATTGCCTTCCCCAGAAAACACTGGAGAGGCCCCCACCTCCAGCGTCCTGAGCCCGGAGGGCAGTATGCAGGGATGGGGGACTCAGGTGGGGACCGGAGGGAAGGCCCAGGAAGTGACGACTGAGGAGGCCACTGCTGTGGAGGTGGGGGAGAAGCTGGAGTGGGTTGCAGAGGCCCAAGCAAACTTGGGGATTCTGGACCTAGGGGCCCTTATCGTAGACCCGCTGGAGGCCATCCAATGGGAGCTGGAGGTCATGAGTGCCCAGGCTGACGGGGCCTACCTTCCGCTGGAGCGCAGGTTTGGGAGGATGCGCCGTTTGCACCTAGCCCGCCGGAGCTTCATCATTCAAAACATTCCAGGCTTTTGGGTCACTGCCTTCCTGAACCACCCACAGCTGTCAACCATGATCAGCCCTAGGGATGAAGACATGCTTGGCTATTTGATGAATTTGGAGGTGAGGGAGCTCAGACACACCAGAACAGGTTGCAAGTTCAAGTTCCTGTTTGGGAGCAACCCCTACTTCCAAAATGAGATGATAGTGAAGGAGTATGAGTGTAGACCTTCAGGCCGGGTGGTGTCCATGGCGACTCGCATCCGCTGGCACCGAGGCCAGGAACCTCCGGCCTTGGTGAACAGGAACCGTGATACCATGCGAAGCTTCTTCAGCTGGTTTTCACAGCATAGCCTTGCAGAGACTGACAGGGTGGCCCAGATCATTAAAGATGACCTGTGGCCCAACCCTTTGCAGTACTACTTACTGGGGCAAAGGCCCTACAGAGCTAGACCAGGCTTTGCAAGGTGGTCGCCAGAGGCTCTACGTAGGCCCTATGCGTTCCAGTCTGGCTAAGTCCTGCTCCAATACATGGCGCCTCCATAGGACTACTCCTCTGCCTGTGAGCCTACCTATGTTCATGTCAGAGCTCTGCTGTTTGCTTCCTCTCTTGTGAATTCTGGCTCTTCAGCATGTTTGGTGGACTCAGGGCCAAAGTTGTGACATTGTGTGATCTCATATGCCACTGCATTTAGAGTGGGCACCCAACGCTATGGACTTGTACTACCATCCGGTGTGTGGCCTGAATTCACCTGTAAAACATGGCCTTTCTACTCACTGGACACCGTTACCTACAGGGCTTCACAAGGACCAGAGCCTGTTTGAGGCCTAGTGCTTCAAAGCTACAATATGCTGGGCTTCAGGGCTGTGCCGACTGTCCCAAACTGAGGCTCATCACCCAAGAGGAAGCACATGTGGTCCTGGCAGTCAACCAGACTTGGATAGCCCATGGCTCCAGGACCACAGAGCAGTTTGCTATTCACTGGATTGTTGGGCATCTGCAACCTGGTCAGCCAGATGATCAGAGGCCTAGGGCCTGAAGCAATGGCCAGTGCATTGTCGTGATCAGTACTGTTCTTTGTATCCTGTGTGTGTCCCTCTCATAGACTGCTGTTGGCTTGTGAAAACCCACACTGTGCCCCACCCATGCCTGGCCATAGCCTTTCTGAGGAATTTTGCCTAGCCCACCATCACCCCTGCTGCCTGCTCTCAGGTCCGTAAGGGCCCCTTGTTAATATAATGAGAGCTCCTAATTCCAGAGATTGCACCGGGCTGGCATATCTGGGCAAGTGCTCAAGGTAGAAACCTTCCTACCTGAAGCCTCACTTCTAGACCTACACAGAAGTCAGACCCTTTGTAAGTTTCTCCTTCACCTACCTGGTTTTAAGCTGCTAGGTTGTAGGTGCTGGAGAGGGGCTTTCTGGCCGTGTGGCATACACTGGCATAGGTCTCACACGGTTTTTAATAGGACATCTCTGAAATGCATTTTCCAAATAGCTAAGGAGACATTTCTTGAATCGCCTGTCTTAGGAATTACCAGTGCTCCCTGCCCCCTCGCCCTTGCAAGGCTTAGAATAGTCACAGTGTACAGTGCAGGGCTGGGACAGGACAGCTAATCACTTCATTTTACACTGTGTTCTTTTAAAGAAACTTTAGTGTCTCTTCTTTGCCTCCCCCACCCCTTGTGGGTTTATAGATAAAAGAGGCTAAACTGCCCTGCCCCTCCGAGTCCCCTCCAGGCTGTCTCTGTCTCATGAAAGGCCTTCCTTTCTGCTCCCTAGGACTAGGAGACATAAAACAATGAGGATGGAGAACCCTCAGTCTTTGCTAGCTTGCACCCTTCCTTCCTTCCTTCCTTCCTTCCTTCCTTCCTTCCTTCCTTCCTTCCTTTTTTCCCTTTCTCTCTTTTGATTCACCAATATATTTTGCAAATTGGAAGAGAAACATAATAATGTCACTTTTTGGCTGTTTTCTGGTCCAGTTATGAGCTTGTATGGGCAGAAAGTTAATGTGTTCTTCATTTTGTACCTTTTGAGTAAGACCTATGCGTCTCCTCTGCTCTTACTGGACGACTGAGCTGTACAGGCCTGCTTGTGTTTCGCTGAGGACGTTTGTGAGATGGCCTCTGTAACTGCTCTGTGCCACTTAGACATTTGTGACTACTCACGGCTGTTATGAGCTGTGGCTTGGTGTTGTAGAGTTTGAATCTGGTGATTTTGTGGAACTTAATGCTGGCCATTGTTGCTGTGTTCTGTGAGAATAACCCCCAGAAAGAACTTGGAACCCAGCATCTTCTGGGCCCTGCAGACCATGTTGTAACAGACATTTTTGTTTCCAGATGGAGAAATGTTCCTAGGTTACTTTGTGTAGTCAGAAGAGGGTTTGTAGCACTTTATCTGCAACATGATGATAAAGAATAAAAACCTTTTGATCTAGGGAAAAAATTAGTTTTCAATTAAAACGAGTAAAAAGCATCTCTCCCCTCCCCACCCCACCCCACCCCCCGCCACCGGAGACAATAGGCAATGCTGGCTGGGAAAGCACAGTGAAAACCTAGAAGTCACGCTCTGAATTGAACTCCAAATAAAGAACTTCACAACCCATAGCCTGGTCAGAGTCTCTCACCATCCTTGATCTCTCTCTGCTTCCTGTTTCCAGCTTTCTGTCTGACATCTTTTCTCTCTCTGTCTGCAGTAATTACACATAGCCTCCCTAATAATTTTCCTCTTCTTGTTTGGAGAAAAGGGTGACATTACCAATTCTTTTGAAACCAACCGCCGAAACCCAAGCATGACTCCTCTGCCCATCGTGAACCAAAGTCAGGCATCCGATGCCCAGAAGCAGACAGCAGTGCAGTGTAGCATTTTGTGTTATTTTCGAATCTCAGCAAATGATTTTTTAAAAAAAAAACTTATCCACTAATATTTCCACTTAAATCCTTAAATTACCAATTCTGAACAGGAATACTAAATGGTAAGCTATCATTTGGAATTTATAATGGAAAAAAAAGGCCTGGCCATTTAACAAACTCTTATTGACTTAACTCAGGCCTCTGCCTCTGTGGCAGGAAAAGGCAGGGTGTTTTACAGGGAGAATGAGTCTGAACTTGCTAATGTCCAACAGTTTGGAGTCACAGTCCTAAATCTTTTCTTTTCTCTTGCTAGTCTTGTACTGATTTTATTGTACCAGAAAGTTTTCTCCATTCATTTACTCTCACGGTCCCCATCTTCTCCTGTGGGTAGTGACCCCAGGTTCTCTGCCAAGTGTATGAGGATGCACTTCCCTTCATTCAGTGAGCGTCCCAGTGGGCCTCCATTTGTAACAAGATCAGTGACTCTATGGTTTTAGAAACCTGGATTGAATTTCTTTCTTTCTTTTTAACCACTCCAGATTATTATTTTCTGCATGATGCTCTTTTGACTTTTTTCTGCTCCTCTGGGTTTTTCATGCCATACACTTGACCATCTAGATCCTCAGACTAAAGCAGATAATTGTGGTTTCCTTTAGAAAACTATTATCATGGACTGTCTCAGCCATGGTTGTGGACTGTCTCAGCCGTGGTTGTGAACTGTCTCAGCCGTGGTCATGGACTGTCTTGTGGACTGTCTCAGCCATGGTGGTGGACTATCTCAGCCGTGGATGTGGACTGTCTCAGCCGTGGTCGTGGACTGTCTCAGCTGTGGTCATGGACTGTCTCAGCCATGGGTATGGACTGTCTCAGCCATGGTCGTGGACTGTTTCTGATTGTGGCTGCAGACTGGCCTTCGAAAACTTGATTTTCTCACCTACAGCTTTTAAGAACTTAATTGTCTTGTTCATCTGACATTTTTAAATGCAAAACATTTTATATATATTGATGAGCAAAGAAAAAATTCAGAAAATAACCATAAGTATCATTGTATGGAATACTCTGATGATTTTTATAATTTTTATTTGTTTTTCCAGAAAGCAAAAGAAAATGAAGCCATGACTCTTGACTGGGAAAGAGTAGGATTAGTTAAGAAGGGATTAGTTGACAGGGGAGCTTGGGTGTCAGGCAAACCACAGTTTTGAGAAGAAGAGAGAAGAGTAAGGACAGACAGCTTTGCTTCCCTCCCTTCTGCCCCCTACTCCAGAATTACCACCCACACCACTCTAGAATCTGCCCCCTGCTTGCTCTTAGATTTCTTTCACCCCTCATTTTTATGTTGCAAACATTTTTCATATACCATTGAACATGTATTGAATATGTTAAGAAAGATGCCCACAAAATGTTTTCAGAAAACAAAAACAAACTAAAGAATTATACAGTATATTCTCACTATGATAATGTTTTCTGTAGATACATTTACGCATTCACGGGAAATCTGAAAATGTATGTGCCTGTTAGATGCCTTAGGATCTCTGCATAGGAGGCTGTTGAGAGCATTTTCATTCTCATTTATTTTTGTTCTTTTTATTGTTTCATGATGTAGATAATTTTGTGTAATAATTGTGTTTTGTAAATGAGAACAGAACATAGAAAATCACTGATTCTGCAGAGGACCCAAGCTGGAGTCCCAGAATGCCCATTGAAAGCTCACAGGTACCTATAACTTCAGCTCTAGAGGATCTGATGCTTCTGGCCTTTACAGACACCTTCACTCAAGTGTACATAAACACCCACACACACATTAAATAATCAATTCTTAAAGAAAAAGCAATATGGCACATTTCTATAACTCATGTGTAGTCAAGTAACTTCTTTCTTGAAACTGATGCTTTGTGGGGCCTTTATAAGAAGATAGATAGATAGATAGATAGATAGATAGATAGATAGATGGTAGATAGATAGATGACAGATAGATAGATAGATGATAGATAATAGAAAGAGATGCTGCTACTGATGTAAATAGATGGTAGATAGACAGACAAACAGATGGATATAGGTGTAGCTATGGCCAGAAACATGGGTACAGATACAGATGTAGACACAACGTTCTTTATGTACATGTGTCTGAAGGCAGACAGACAGCACTATGTATGTACATGTGTCTGAAGGCAGACAGACAGCACTATGTATGTACATGTGTCTGAAGGCAGACAGACAGCACTATGTATATACATGTGTCTGAAGGCAGACAGACAACACTGTGTATGTGTATATGTGAGAAGGCAGACAGTCAGCACTTGGCAGGAGAGTCTTGCTCACATTTAGCAGGATTTTATCCACAGAGCTTAATGTACTGAGTTTTCTTAGCCCCACTTATCATGGGCATCCATGTTTATGATCCACTTGTCACAGGCATCCACGTTTATGAACCACTTGTCACGGGCATCCACATTTATGAACCATTTTATAAGATGACGGGGAGATCAGTAAGACACGGACTCTGGAACACTTGTTTTTACATGAAAAACACTGCCATGCCAACCAAGAGCTTTTCCATGGTTGGTCTGTCGCTGCATGATTCCAGGTGGTCGGCCCAGGTTTATTATTTTGACCTGAAGTTGAAAACCCCCAAAGAGAGTGAGAAGGCTCAGTGGGTAAAAGTGGTTGCCACCAAATCTGAAGACCTAGTTCAATTTCCCAAATCCACTTGGTGGAAAGAAAAATCTGACTCCTGGAACTTGTCCCCTGGCTTCTACATGCATGCCATGGCATTTATGAACCTATACATATAATAACCCCAACTATCTACAGATTAATAAAAATAAAATAAAACTCCTACTGCCAGATCCACCTACCCTGCTAGGTCACACTGGTC